ATTATCCACATTAACACGCGGGTTAATCTTCCGGAAATCCACCGTAATCCGCAATGTGGAGTCTACATTTTTGACAACAACGGGTGAGCACCAAGGACTACTTAATTGAAGGTCTAATTATACCTAGATCCAGCCATCGATCAAGGTCCTCCTTAACTTTGGTCTTCAGAGCAAAAGGAATCTTATACGGTAAGGAAGCAATTGGTTTCACAGAATCGTCAATACTAATCTAGTATGGTTTACACTTAATTTTACCAAGTACTGGACAAAATACATCTTTTACATCAGACATATTCTCCTTCTGAGAATTCTCTAAATTTTTATTATCATTACATAGTTCATTCGCCAGAACTACAGTATTCACAACTTCAGAGTTTGACGCAGCGCAGTTCACATTTTCACACTCATGAAATAGCTTAATCATATTCACATGAAAAGTCTTCTCATGGTCATTGATAGGTATCACATAGTCAACCGCGTTCAAGCGACGAATAATTTCGTAGGGACCTCTCCACTCAGCCAAGAGCTTATACTAGAAGAAGTTGGCAAAAGAAGCAGAACTTTGTCACCTAGTCGAAAATTGCGCTTACGGGACGTACGTTCATAATACACTCTCTCAGTCTTCTTACTGATCAGCTCTCTCTCATTGGCACACTTTATGAACTCTCTGATACGCTCACTCATTTGTAGCACGTATTCAGTCACAGGTATTTCATCAGCATTTTCACATTCATCCAGGATACGTTCTTTAATCAAAAATAATGGTCCTCTTACGTCATGTCCAAAAAAATGGCCGCAATTGTTAACAACTGCAGGCTTAAACCAAGAGCATCAAAACGAGTCAGACAGTGACACTGACAGCCATATGGACATGGATGATGTTCATGACCCTGATGGAGATCAACAAGAAGATACTCTTCCAAGTCTTGGTGATACAGTGATAAGTGATGGTGACTCTGAGTGAATCATGCCTCACGAGTCATGGTGAGTGATGCCGACTCGATGAGGCACGTGATCCACGTCACATACCACAAGTGACTTCAATATGTTTACTTGAAATGGAGTACTTTTTTTAGATGCTTTTATTTTTTCTACAGATTTTGATATCAGAGTCTGGTATCTGGTTGGGAGGGACTGAGTCATAGTCTTAGACTCATAGGTCATGGTGAGTGACTGAAAATGTAATGCTTTGAAAATATTTATTTTTTGTATTTTTTGCATACTTTGATTTATGAGTACAATAAGGAAATGAAAAATTTGTTTATTTACCCTTTTAAGCTTTGAACTAGAAGTATTAGGCTTGATAAGTTATAAATCACACATGAGATATGTTAAATAAGATTTAAAAACACATCATTTCAATGTATATCAAGGGTATAGATATATTGATCCCAAATAAATACACGAAAGAAAAAAAAACAATAAAAAACAAATAAAACACATAAAAAAAACGTTTTTTTACTAAAAAAAACACTCTGGAAAAAAAAAACGTTTTTTTTGCATCTCTACGGCGGCGCTACCGCTACATGTAGCGCGCTACTGCCCACCTCTGGCTAACAACTAACATGTTGACACTAGTAACCGGCTAAGGTTGACAACATTACACCGAAATCTTTCGTACAGTTTTATTCTGTAATTTATATTATGTATGTATCATGCTGGTTTTTAAATAATATATAATACTATTAAGTAAAATCTAAAGGCTTTATCTATAAATGTAGCGGTAGCGCTGTAGCGGCAAAACCCCGTATCGTTACTTAAATATGTAGCGGGCGCTACCGCTACAATTGCTTAAATGAAGCTCCGCTACCGCTACAGCTACTGAAAATGTAGCAGCCGCTACATGTAGCGCGCTACTGCCCACCTCTGCCTACGCGCCCATTGATATTTCAATACTTGAACAGTTAAACATACTGTACTGAAGTCAATAACCAGATAATAGAATAAAACGTTGCAAAGTAGATGTGTGGCCTATTGAAATTCTTGTCCGCCAGATACCGTATTCGCGTCCGCCAGATACCGTCTTCGTGTCCGCCAGATAACGTTTTCGTGTCCACCCGTTAACGCGTTCGTGTCCGCCAGATAACGTGTTCTCGTCCGCCAAATAACGTGTTCGTGTCCACCAGACAACGTGTTCTTGTCCACCAGATAACGTGTTCTTGTCCACCAGATAACGTGTTCGTGTCCGCCAGATAACGTGTTCGTGTCCGCCAGATAACGTGATCGTGTCCACCAGATAACGTGCTCGTGTCCACCTGATAACGTGTTCCTGTCTACCAGATAACGTATTCGTGTCCACCAGATAACGTGTTCGTGTCCACCAGATAACGTGTTCGTGTCCACCAGATAACGTGTTCGTGTCCACCAGATAACGTGCTCGTGTCCACCAGATAACGTGCTCGTGTCCACCAGATAACGTGATCGTGTTCACGGCGTGGAGGGCAGAGTCAAAACATTAACTTTCTTCCCGTTACATTCACCCTCCACAACCGGTAAGTCAAATTGCCTAACATTGCGAGTTAACGACACGGCCACAGTTTCATCTTTGGACAATGCATTTGAACGTGGAGTTTTTGGTTCGGAGTTCGTTAATGTATTCGAATTTGCATATCGAGAACGTTACGTCTCAAGACACATTTTTGCTATATGGCTTGATTTGGTACAATTGAAACACGTGATTTAGGAACGGGACGACTCGTTTGACCCAGTACCCTTATTAGCGTCTCTGTCAACATCGGCAAACGTACACACTTTAGTCTTATTTTCTCCTGGACAAAATCGAGCTATGTGGCCTGATTGATTGCATTTTTAGCAAGTTATATTCTCAATTGACTTAACATCTGTCTCTTTAGTCTTAAATTTGAAATCAATTTTCTTCCGAACATGGACACGACCATGAATTGCTTGAAAATTAACTGCTAAATGAACTACATCATTCTAACTAAGCTCAAACAAGGTTTTCTCCTTCAAGTATTCAGCGAGAGATTTGTCCACAGATCGTAATAATTGATCTTTAATGATTTCAGTTAGGCGCACAAAGTCAGTTCCTACACCAGATAAAGACATCATTTTAATTAAACTTTCCTTCAAAGACAACACGAGCTGAGCATTGCTTTCAGTGGACTGTTTTGCAAATCTAAATTTCTTTTGATAGTCGTACACATTTAATCCAAAGCTACTTATAATGTGACTTTTAATTTCTTCATATGGAAGATCAGATGAAATGGTATCGAGCAAACTGCTAACTTTAGAATTAACAAAGCCATTGACCAGCGCGGATACAGCCACTGAAGGTGACCAACCATTGGCATCTCTAACCTTCTCAAAGTTACGCAAATAAACAGCCAAATCGTCACCATCATGATAGATGGTTAGTTTAATGTTAGCTCTACTGAATGATAGTCCACTAGAATTACCAGTATCACTAGCATGAATTCTTTCACGCTCTAGTTCCAATCTACTCAGTTCCATCTCTTTCTCTACTTCTAATTTGCGCAGGTCATACGCAGGTCCTTCTCTCTAACGCGTTCTCGCTCAAGTGCTATTTCACTGCGTTCACATCTTTGCTTAACGTACTCGCGCAGTTCCACATCTTTGTAACCTAACTTGATACCATCGGCAATGAAATCACTTTCCGACATTTTGACAAAGAATAACGCAGAAGAAATCTCAAAAAACACCCCTAAACAATGGATTTACAGACAATAGTATCTCACACTAAGTTTACAACATTAGTACAATACAGGCAGGTACTTTCAAAACTTTGCTAAGTGCTCGTAGCGGCTTAAGTCCAGCGTAAGTCCGCTAAGTTCGCGTAACTCCAAATGATTGTACCTTCAAAACATTTCCGCACCGAGTTCCGTCCGCGAAAGTCGACTTAACTCTAGGAGTTCTGTTCTAACCGTTGAGGCAGGAGGTTGTTTGTGCTGAGCTCCCGTGACAGTAGTCGGCTTCGGCCGGCTGCTACGTCATCTTTCTGGAACTATCCTCCTCAAACTTTGAAACTGCCGTGCTGTCCCGCTCCGAGGCGTTTTTCATTCAGGAACTCGATAATTATCTACGTAACTTTTAGGCGATGATAGTTAACATATGACAATATAAGACCTGCATGCCATACGTGTTATGTTACGTGCATATAATATCCGGCGCAATTTATTCGTTCACCAATCAATCGCTTTCCCTTCCCTCCCCATGAGTTCCTTGCCACCATAACTGTGCTGCCAGACCCCATGCCTTGCTGCCGAGAAAATTTTACACCGAGTTTGGCCGGTACGCTCGGAGAAGACTTCGCCTGTCTTTGATGCAGGCTCTTAAACGAGAGCAAACACTTTCCAATTAACGCGAATAATGATCTATAAATGAAAATATAACTTGAAGAAATCTCTGTACATATTGTTAAAAAATGCTCATTTTATATATTTTTAAATTGCTTTACGCAAAAACTAGTGCACGCACATACATGAGGTTTTCTGCGTTAGGCGCGCCTTTTCAGCAGCTGCAAAATGAGTCAAGGAAACGGAAAAGCCAAATATATCGATTTTTCCACCCAGACGCTCCCCTTAACAAAAGGATCCTCAATTATTATACAGGTTTTACTCATGTAAACCCTGTCAGAGCAAAGATTTATCTGTGTAAAGTATCATATAATTCTTATTTCATCATGGGAGATAAAATCAGGGCTCTATCCTCAGTTAAATTTATTTTCCTTTTTATGCTATACTATACATTCAATATCAAAAATGAACGGATTTTATGTATAGATTACAAGTCGCTCAGAATCGAAGTTACCTAACATTATTTTGATAATTTCGAGCTTCAGTCAAATTTAAAGATCAATCTTCATAATACAGTGCAGTCTTATAATATGTCAAAAAATAAGATTGAGAATCGCTAAGCTCTATATGATTCCACCACTTTCATTAACATTAAACCAACCATTTACGACAACTTTTTAAGACGAAGCATTTCCAGTATGAACATATATCCACGTTATGACTCACATTTCCAGCAAGGGGAGAAACGAGGTTGTAGCAAACGTTGATTCCGCTGCGATGGACATACGTCCCTCCTAAAACTTCGAAGTTGTAGAAGTTGTCAGCGTACAGGATCCAGCTGCGGGACAATCATTTGCTTATCCGCCAACTAACTTCATTTAAAGTTATCTATTATCTGATGGTATACAACTATACATCAATCGCGAAATTTTTCCCTAAAATCAATTAGTAATCAAAATTTTGGGTTTTAACTTGTGTTTTAAACAGAAGCACTTTTTTGTCACATGCAATCGGGTGCTTCCTACATGTCTAATTTCTGCCCTCGCTTTTTACCACTTATTTAAAAGTTATTTGAGCGCAAAAAACGTAGAAAACAAAACATAACAAAAATATACAATGAGCATAATAAAGTAATTTCCAAATTAGTTTTGTTTTCAATTAATACATGTACAATTTTTATTAAAATTCAAATGTTCTTCTTTGAGCAGGTGTGTTTCAGCCCGGCGACTGCTGCGCTTTTCTTGCTTGTTCCTGGGGACTTATTCTCTTGCGCATTTGTTCTAGTCTGACGTGAAGGATGAGAAAGCCACTTCAGACTTAGTATTGGCTTTTCGTCTCTTAGTCGAAGGGATGACTTTTCTCTATTCAAAAAAGGATAATACCACGGCCATTATTATTAATCTATCACTTACTTGCCAGTAAAATAAATGCTCATGATGGAGTTGTCCATGCCGTACACGCTCAGTTCTGGGGTGTAGTCGAAGAACTCGTAAGAAGCGCCAGCACAATTAGGTGCGGTGTACGCTTTACGGTACCGTAAGTCCGGGATATCTGCGGAGTGTCTTAAGTTTTACTGATACATTTTGAGTATGTTATACATAATCGATATCTTTCGGGTTTTATATAATTACAGAATCGTCTAGTTTTCCTACGGTAGATGCCTCTCAGACTATGTACGCTTCATTCACTCGGTAGGAAGAGAAAACAGATAAAGCCAGGCATTGTAGACCAGGTTTTACAGTTTCAGGAGCGGATAAAATTTGGGTAACTTTGATAAGATTTTCATCTAGCTTAGTACGTTATCTTTTGTGCAGCAGCGGAAAGATTCATTGCTTTTTTAATCCATTTAGAATGTGAAGTGGCGAAATATTTCTCCCGAAGCAGCCTGCAGCGATAGGGATGTAACCTTCAAGAATTGCTGCAAGTTACGTTGCACTCCACGGCTAAAGCCAGGGGCTCTCAATAATTAGAGGTTCTTCCGTTAATTATTGGATTCTCAATCAAAATCTTCTGCCAACTACTATTACAAATTATTGATGAACCTTTTAAGAGATTAAACATCAAACCTAAATTTAGCGCAATCAATGAACTTACAATTTTATTAAGTATGTTTGGGTTGCGGTCTATCTTTTCTTACCTGCAGCCTCGACGAAGAAGCAAGACAGCACACCCGCAAGGGTGGTCAGGACGTAGAACGAAGCTCTCATCTTCTTAGCCTTCGACATGAAACAAACCACGGCAGTCAGACAGGCAGAGCGCGACCCCAGTGCCTTGTTATCAGCATCATTAGCACAGATAAAGGTTGCGTTCACGGCATTTACTCTGGCAATTTTCCTGATTAAACTAAGGATTTTATTTTGTGATCTTCATTCAGTTTCCTGAGGACAAGCCTCAGTTCGAACCTTGTTAATTTATTATATTCTTCTTCTTGAGCTTTAGTTAATCTAAAAAAATTTTCAAACGTCTCCCTCTGATTGTTTGATTTATGAGTGATAGTTACGGCTGATGTTTGAAGTTGGTGGGTAATAGGTGGAGGAGGTTGGCTAGGTCTCTGGAGTCAAGACTAAGTCCCTCCTTACCTTGATTTGGGAAATTGAGCTCAAATAAATTACAAGTTCGTGAATTTTGTTCGTCATGATGATGGTCACCGAGGACCAACCACTTGACTCACTATAAAGATTAAACTCAAGATCATCTTCGGTATCACTCAGGTAGAGACCGGGGTCAGATAATAATTGGTTTGGGATTCCCGAGAGTACCGCATCTGATGCAAAGGACCGAGTGATGGATGACACGGCATTTGTTGTAGATTGTTGCAGCAAGGTACTCAACACATCGATTGATGTTACATCTTGCAAGAGGCTACGCTCGAAGGATGCTGCTGCCAACTCCTTCAGACCTCTGTTGGTGACTGTAAAGGATTCTGCTCAGGTCTGGAGCGTGCTGAAAACAGCGAGAAAGCTTGGAGAATCCCCTGATTACAAGTCAGTTTTTGTAAAGAAAGATTCCATCCCCTTAGAAAGGGCGGTTTTTCGCATGAAGTGGCAGGAGAGAATCAGGCGGAAAGGCACGGAAAATCAGGTCAGTCACTTCCAAGCTGCCAAGACAAGACCGGCTGCTAACGGACAGTCAGAGGAGATGGAGGACAAGTAATTAGTAGGAATGATGTCCGTAGATCAAGGCCTGTAAATAATGTAGGAAGTAACCGCATACATCAAAGTGAAAGTGCACAAAAAAAGAAGAACAGTGCAGTTAAGGCTCAGCTAAAGACCAAGAAAGAAGCCTGCAAGCGTTATTTACGAACTCGCAGCGAGTCTGATTATAACCTGTATGCAAGAGCTCGAAATCAAGCTAAAAAAAGTCGCACTGCAGTGAAAAACTTCGAAAAAAATATAGCTAAAAATGCAAAAAAAAAAATCCGAAAGCCTTCTCTTTGTACGCTAGTTCGAAGTGTAAGTCAGAGGACGGTATATCTGATTTGAAAGTAGACCAACGAAAGATTTCCTCTGATGAGGGCAAGGCTAACGTTCTTAATCAGTTCTTCAGCAGTGTGTTCACAGATGAGGACTTGAATAGTATTCCAGATATTGAGGAGCGCCCAGTCGGCTCGAAGTTAAAAGGTTTTGAAATACACGAAGAAGAGGTTCGCAAGCGCCTGGTAGCTCTAAATCCCAACAAGTCAAGTGGACCAGACTGCTTCCATCCCAGATTGCTCAAAGAATTAGCAACCGTTCTGGCCGGCTCGTTGAAAGTATTCTTTCAAAAAACCTTGAACGCAGGAACTTTGTCGACTGGAAAGAAGCTCAAGTAACACCATTGTTCAAAAAAGGTGACATAAGCAGCCCCGGCAACTATCGCCCTGTCAGTCTTACAAGTGTTGTTTGTAAGCTAATGGAATCGGTTGTGAGGGATAGGATTATCGATCACTTGACTGCTCACCATCTCATATCAGATTGCCAACATGGTTTTATTGCCGGTAGATCCTGCACCACCAACTTATTATCTACGTTGAACGATTGGACTCTCCTGCTGGACGAAAGGGAGCCAGTGGATGCATTGTACCTCGATTTTGCCAAAGCATTTGACAGTGTTCCGCATGAGCGGCTGTTGCGTAAAGTGAAGTCCTTGGGAATTGAGGGAAACGTACTCCAATGGATCAGAGATTTTCTAGTAGGTAGACGACAGCGTGTCAGTATTAACGGAACCGTGTCAGACTGGGCATCAGTGCGCAGTGGCGTGCCACAAGGAAGTACCAAGAGAAGTCAACGTTTCCTTCATGCAAATTCTGGGATGTTTCTCGCTCAGAGATTCCTTGGAGACGATGGATGGAAAACACGTAATTGCAGTACTAACTGAGCAGCTAAATCGATCAAGCATATTCACAGATTTTTCTGCCTCTCTCCACTCTTTAGGAATTCAAAACTATTTTAATTTCTCGACTTTTTACTCGTGAAAAACATGTTGACAACTTCATCTCACGAGGCCAAACTTGAAAAAAGGCCAACATCTCCGGTTGTGCGTCAAGCCAAAGCTTCGTCAACAGAATAAATCAGATTCAGGAATAATTTTCACCGCCATCATGATGAGCTCGGAGTAAAATTCTGCCACTCGGCACCTGCGCGGTGCGCAAATGGTGAATTTGGACAATAGCTTCTTAAGGATTCCATTGCAAGTGAATGCGTGAATTATGCACAGAAATAACTAAGGCCCCACTGTAGCGGTCCGACTTTCTGTCGTTCGCGCTCTTCTTCTTTCTTTCCGACGCATTGCTCGGAGCTGAAATTGGACATGAGCCGGGGTCGGCTCACTCTCGATTGAGCCGCCTGCCTGGGCGGGCGTGGCAGGACACAGTTATTGGTCGGCAAGGATATACCTTTGATGGACCTCCGAAGCTGCCGTCAAGCATTCATTTGAACCAGAGTTCTTGTATTTTGGTTACGTCATTCGTCGGCCATGGACAGGTGCGGCTGCAGGCAATCGGAGCTACAGTACCAGTCTCAAGACGGTAACGCTTCCGGCGCTGTACGTCGCATGGACTTGGTCGTTGTGAAAATTTTTCTTTCCACTCGTGGTATAGTGTTGAAGGAAGATGTAACTTGTTCGCAACGTTGGAAACGTGCCCCGGCGTAATCTCTCGGCAAGCACTGCGCTCCTCCGCTAGAATCCAACACCTTGAATGGATTTGACTAAAGCTATTTTCGCTGAACTGTGACTTCCTCTCTGCTACAACACCGGTCTGATAGCTAAATAGGATTATTGGTGTACTTCTCATGAAATCTCTTGTTTACTTATACAACTTGATCGTTAAATGTATAGTTCATGCTTGCATTTATAGTTTGTTCATGCTTTCTAACTATTCCGTTGGGGTAGCCCATATGTGTTGCTCCCCTCTCCCGCAACAATGTGGCCTGTTATACGTAGCCGATTCTTGTATTTTTCGTGACTTGTTCACAGGAGATCTAAAAACGTCCTTTGACCGGATCTTTCCAAAACTGACGATAGTTTGAAATAGCTACCATATGGTGACAGGCATTTTAAGTCTGAACATACATTTCTCCATAGCTTTATCTTGTCTGTTCTTGAACGCGTTCATACTGGGAGCGTTAACGATGTACCCAGGGCGGCTCTTCCACATGTCGGTGACGGCCAAAGCGATAAGAAATGTCGCGTGAATGAGTTGCAACGCAGTTTCTTAGTTTATAGCCGTGGCCTCTGGTGTTGGTTCTTGTTCCAAATTCTAGCAATCCTTCTGGGACCTTGTATAAGCCTTGAGTATACATGTATACTTCAATGAGGCCACCACGCAGACGCCGATAACAGAGGCTTGGAAGCTTCATAATCTTTAATCTTTCTTTATGTGGCTTGCCTTCTAATCCCGGAATTATATCCTTGTTGCTAGTCATTGAACACTCTCGATTAAGTTTTTGTCCTTTACTACTTTTGGTGACCACAGAGCGTTTCCAAACTCTAGGTTCGGACGCACGACAGCGAAAAACAACAGCTTCATGGCTTCAGTATCTATATACTCGTAAGAGCGTTTGATCAGTCCAAGTCGTTTATTGGCTTTATTAACTTGAGCTTCAATATGCTTAGAAAATTTCAACTCATTGTTTACATCAACTCGTAATACTTTACCATTGTCGACTCCATCATCACTATCATCACTCTTTCGCTGCAACCTTATTTTCTCATACTGTAATATTGCAGCTCATTGTTCTTGCCAAGGTGGATTACTTTACATTTGTCAGCATTAAAACACAGCTGACACGTATCAACCCAGTTAACTAAACTATCAAGATCATCTTGCAATTTCACTTCATTTGACGCATCCTTAAGTGTACATGGGCGCAGCCGTAGGCCACAAGTTGCACTCTTAAATATACGCCCTGGAACCAACGCCAAGCTTCACCATGCAATAACTTTACCCGGTCTCAGAGCTAGAAGCCGCAGACTACGCTTGAACTCCGTAATCCAGACAAGCGACACACTGCCGAAAGAGAATAGCGCCCTAGGTCTTCAGCCAATGCTTAAACATGCTCGCTTTTAAGCAGGCAGTTCCCCATCCGGCTGTACCTACTCCGGCCTAACCTATTCATGCTGTCCAGGCTCACAACTTTCTTGCAGCCAATGACTAGCACTACCAGCACACTTGGACCGCCTTTCTAACTTCCTGCAGCCAATGAGGTTAGGTCTGCTCAGGTTTGTTTTGGGTGCAGAAATGTTGCAACTTGTCTAGGTAAGGCTAGATATTGATGACACAATTGATGTCACAATTTCCATTGAATGTCATGAGAACGCACAAATGTATTAGAACTATTTTCAGTAATGTGAAGGTCACCACGCAGGTGACCTTCACCGCGTGAAGTTATGTTATGTTATCGATATGTTGTGATATGTTATTATCTGACACTGCCCTCTATCCGAATGCTCTCTCGAGTTTCACACCTACACGCAGAGCTGGGCAGCGCTACTTTGAAATGTAGCGGCCGCTACGCTAGAGATGCGACGTAAAAAAAACACTCATGTTTTTTTAATAAAAAAAACAAGTTTTTTTAATAAAAAACATCAGCCTAAAAAAAACATGTTTTTTATTGTTTTTTTTAGAAAAACATAAATAAATGCAAATTAATCCATAATCACTTTACCTGAGGGCCACAGGATGATGGGTGACAGGTCTATGCTGTATCTTAAAATTCCTAATATCATT